CACACTGCTTCGTGCCTTTCTCGTTTTCCTGGCCGGGTGCCGCAATACAAGAGGACGAGCGCGCGGGGGCTGGGCAGTGTCACGGCAGAGCCCCCCTGCCCGCCACGGGGCTGGGGATTTGTGCTTGGACCCACTCGCCGGCAGTCGGAGCCCGGGCAGGGCAGCTCTGCCCGCTCTGCTCCCGCTGGCAGCGCAGCAGTGACCGCCCCCCGCAAACTTCCCCTGTGCTAATCCCACCCCCCACACCTCTGGCTGTGCCCCGGAGGAGAGGCCCGCTCCCGCGCTGTCCCCAGGGCCCGGACGGACACAGGGGCGCTCTGCTTTGCCCAGAGCCCAAAGCTTCACCAAATCCTCCCGCCCCGGGGGCGCCTTGCACAGTGCGCGGCCGCGCTCCGTAGCCTGGCGCCCGAAGGGAGGGCAGACGGGGAGAGCCTCGTTTTCTGATCACACGCCGCCCTGGACCTCAGGCTCTCGGCTAAAGCGATGTTGGGTCCCCCCGGGGCATTCCCGCGAGCTTCCCCGGGGAACCACCCTGCGCGAGCGGCGGCAGGCGGCGCGGAGCCTGCGCGGGTCCCGCCCCCTCCTGCGGCCCCGACGGTGTCCCCCTCCCGGCCCTCCCCCTCTCCCCGCTCAGGGGCTCGGGAACTTCACTGCAACTTTTGGAAACGCGGCTGAGCTGAAATCCCGTAGTCCGGCCCGTCGGGGGCTGCAGGGCTGGGGCCCCGGAGCCGCCGCCGCCTCCCACCGCTCCCTGGCGATGTCCCCAGCCCTGCCTGGCCCTCCCGGGGCGCCGCGCCGGCTGGGGACTCCCCAACACCAGAACCGCCCTTGGCACCAGCACAAGGCATTTGACTGCTGGGGGAGCCCGGCCATGAGGCAGGTCAGCAAGGGACCGGGGGCCCAGGCAGCAGGATCCAGCCACCCGGCAGGGCACTGGCTTGAAAGGGCAGTTCAGACTTTCCAGCCAAACTCCCCCTGCACTCCCTTTTCCATAGACACCCGAATACCCCAGCTACAGCTAGCAGAGAAGGGGGAAAGTGTGTGTTTGGGGAGGGGGGAGCAGGTCCTGTGTTGCTCCTGAGGAGTGACAAGACTGAAATCAACAGGGCAAGGCCCCCCCTGCTTTGCATTTCTTTCAGTTACTGCCCAGAGCTCAGTCAGCTATGCCTCCCCAGTCTGCACTGCGCTGAGAGGGGCCACAGCTGGAAGAGAAGAGGGAAACGACTCCAGCCTTAATACTACTTAGTTAGGAGCAGAGGATTTCATTTTTCTTCATTGACTGGAAAAGCATTTCCAAGCCCATCTCTGGAGCTCTGATTGCCAACCCATTCCCTAAAACACTCACTGCTGAGCTTGGTAGAATTTAGTTTTCTTATCTCTGAACCAGGTGTAAATTGCCAACTCCTGAACACTTCTGTAGAGGAAACCAGTGTCTCAGAGGGAAGCCTTCCAGACTAGACCAAGTTGGAGAAATTCAGTGCAAGTCAGGCCCCGGAATTTGGCTGCAGGATGGCAAGGACTAGCGTGACACTACTCTGGTTTATTTACCAGCCCCACAAACTAGCTACCATAAATATGGATTAAAACAACAACTGGAAGGAAACGCTACTTCCCAGACAAGTGATGGGTTATTACTATAGGAAATAGGAGAGTTTTAAAAAGCATCTCTCCAATTGTGTACTTTTGTAAGGAAACAATACATAACTACCATGGAAAATCCACAGTGAAGGCTGGAGAGGGAAAACATTTTGAATGTCAAAAACAAACTAGGTTATTTTAAATTTTCCATTGGTTTTGCAACAAAAGGTAAAACCATATTTTCATCAATCCAATTTTGCTGATTTTGTCCTTGTGGACGTTGTTTAAAGAAAGTAGTGTGCACAGGCATGTATAACTGAGCTCCAGTGTCTACACTGGGTGGCTGGCTTCACTCATGCCAGGAATAGGTTAGGGAATGGTGGCACTTCTGTGTTAAAAAGTACATAAGCACAAAGTATTACCGTTTTATTTTCAAGCTTATATTTTGTTACTAACACTTCTGCCAATTTTCTTTTCTTTTGCTTAGCAAAAGGCAGTGAGTGTAGAAGTAGTACAGAAGATAATTAGATTTAAAAACTCAATCAATAAAATAGAATGAAAAGGCAGAAGAGGATCAGAGAAAAAACACATATACTAGGCCAAAAGTTAAGAAAGCTCAGGTTGTGGACTTGTAAATATAGTGTGAAGAGATGCTGCTGAGGAATATGAAAACTTGGTAGTGCTGTAGGAAAGCACAAGCCCAAATTAAGTTTGGTGTAAGCTGAAAGAATGGAGTGTTGCTTCACTTGCTATGTGCTGCAGAACCGTTTCCAGAAAGGTTTCTACAGAGTAAATAAAAGTAAAGTGTTAGGATGCTGCTGTTCTGAACCTAGTATACTGTCATTCAACAGAATTCAAGAACTCAAAGTCAGAGGCTTAGTCAGAAATTCCTTGTAAAGCTCTCCGGGAAAGAAAGCCAAAGGAACAACATCTTTTTTGGGGGAAATTCTTAGCACCTTGATGTAGCAGAGTGGCATACATATTGGAAGGAATGGGGAGATGAGAAACTACCTGGGAATAAAAAAAGAACAGCTCAGGAGAGTTTTCCAACACCCCAGAGTATAAGGGACCAGGTATGAAAGCTGCTGTTTATGCATAAAAATAGAGGAGGGAAAATATGAGAAAGGAGGGTTTGCATACATGATCCTCTGATAAAAGAAACCACTTGAAAAATTATCATGCTGTTGTGGATCGAGAACAGCTGCATGCTGTACAGCTGACTACCAGGCACAACGTATTAAGATGAAGAGAAAAGAAATGACAAAACAAAAGATACATGTCAGACTCCACAACAGGCACCTCCCTGACTGGCATAATTTCCATTATCCCATCACTACTGTCGGGTGATCCACAGGATATACAAGATTATTCAAAACAAAACACTACTCTCTGAGACTCGCCACTTGTCTTGAGTAGTACTTTCCTCTGGAAGCCAGTGGGAATACTCAGCATGCATAAGGATATCAGAATCTGACCTAAAGGTAAATTGTCTACCAGGCAGTACCATGTATCTTTTAAACAAAAACCTCTAGGAAAGAGGAACAAGAGAGGCAGAAATATGCAACAGAATCAACTCTGTTGTAAAGTAAATAAGGGCTTGAAGGCACTTGAGGCAAAAGACATCTGATCACAAGTTGGGCTACTGACCACATATGTAGGGCAGCTCACTAGATGTTTTTCTTTCAGATATCTTGACAAGATAAAATTAGACTTAACGAATAAACCAAAGGCAACACTGTGCGCACAAATGGTTTAGATGTCTTAGACATCTAATCCTATTTCTTGATTTCTATTTCAATTTACTCGCATTGAATGTCTTTCCAATCATCTGCCTTGTCTGGCACTGAGTGATGTGCTTCGTAGCTCTTGCTAAAAAATGTTTCTATCTAGAAAACATGTTGCAGAAATTGCATGTAGAACACATTGAAGGTGCAATCTTCCATTGATGTAAATGGAGCCAGGATTTCCCCTAAATACTTTGCCCTTTGCATGCTCTCTCTGGGTACCATCCAGATGAGCAGGAATGTGCATTTCCCTGAGGACAAGTAGCAGTGGCATACCTGGTGTCACAGCTACTTGTCACTGGGGAACGCCCGTACCATGCGCACTGTGGTGTGTGGCAGGGTATACCAGATGGGGTAGGGGAGGCTGGGGCCAGCACAGTTGCTGGCCCCAGCAGCCTTACCTGGAGTCCTGAGGGCCTCTGGGAGCTGCAGCCATGGCACTCCTGCAGTAGGGAGCCTGGTCAGCAGCCAGAATGCAGCTCTGGCCAGCCAGGCTCCGGTTTTGGGCGCACCACCCTGCTTTTTTTGGCATGTTTTTTTTTTATTTCAAACCACTCCCTGCCCCCCTCCCCACACAGGGAATGCAAAGTAGCAGCGCAGGGAACACCTGCATGTGTGGTGTGTGGCACCACAGACAGGTCTGCGGTGCCACTCACCGCACATCCACGCTTGTCTGGATGCACCCTCTGAGTTTGTCATCTCTTATATGAGGCAAATATCTTGATTTCAAAGATGGGATATTTTGTTTCTATTCTGTAGTTTTCACAGTCTTAATTTGATTTCCCATTATGATTAAAAAAAGACTTACCATCTTAAAAAGAAAAATCAGTCCTAAATCAAATCAATATTTGTGGTGGGTTGCAATACTGGATTTGCTCCATTAATAATCAACCTCCTCACAGATGGAAAAGCTTTATTTTAGTTTCAAGATGCTTATTTAAGCCTAGATGATGAATAAAGACAAATTCTAAATGGAAAACAAAACACCTAAGTTCTGAATGAGGCTGCTTCAATCCATAAAGTCAACTTTGAGGCCTCAGCAATTCTACAGGCTTTACATTCTTTTTCACCTTATAATGTTTCTTTGGCTCCAGTAAAAGAGATTTTACAAATACAAAATATGGCAGGAAGACCTTTTTCTGCTGCCTGGTTCTGACCAGTACACCCTGAAGTCAGGGAGAATCTTTCTGCTGATTTCAATAACGCTGAACTAGGTCCTAATCTACATTGCCAAAAAAAAAAAAAGGTTGCT